CGGAGATTGAGATGAATGTGCGTTATTGAAGAAACGTGAGGCACCATTTTTTTTAGGAGCATTACCGGGATTCGAAGTAGTCCTTCGTGGAGTTCTTACGGGGCGTGACAAATTTGGAGAATCTGGTACAGGATTAGAGTTCGAAGCAATATGACTGGGTATGACACGAGAATTATGATTGTTATTTTGTTGAGCCAGAGGAAGGGGAGAGGGACGTCTGTTATTTATCAACGTTTTACTGAATAATTTTTCCATAGATGATTGAGACGTTGATGGAGAGGAAGGAGTTACTGACTCGGCGGAAGTAGATTTTACCGAGGCCTTATCATCCTCTTCGTCAGAATGAGAACGAGTTAATGGAACAGTTGAATTCGTAGATGAAATTGATGAAATTTTTGACGAAGCGGCGGCTTTTTTCTCTAGCATTGAAGTATTCTGAGGGGGATAAGATGGTGGAGGACGTGGAGTATGAAAAACAGGAACACCATCAGAACGAAGATTAGGGCTGGTACATGAAGAAGTTGGAGGAGCAACTTTTGGAGGAGGAGGAGGAGTAAAAACTCGAGCAGGATTAGGAGATGAATGTTTTTCTAATTCTAACGGATCTAACGGAGATACATGATCCTTAATAGTTGGAGATGAAGAAAGGTCTTTTTGTATTGATTCTTGTGATAAAGCGGATGGAGGAGAAATTGAGGAAGAAGAAGATTTTATCGAAGAATCACGATTTATATCAGATAAATAAGTATCATATTTCATATCAGACATTTCAAAATTTTGGGCATCAGAACCATTTGCACTGGAATCAAAATCGTCAGAACTAAAATCAACGTCATCGGAACTTGTAACGGATTCAGCGACATCACTGGCATCAGCAATAGATTTTGAACCATTAGCAGTGATTTCATGTATTGATTTTGAAGAAGTCCACGATTTAGTAGTGGAAGTTGAAATGGTTGATTTATGGGATAGGACCGACAAACGCTTTGGCCGTGCTATGTAATCACCATTTTTAAAATTATCTTTTGAGTTAACTTGATAATCTATACCATTTTTTATAGCACCATTTGTTCGAATTGAAGTGTCTATTTTCACATGAGCATTTGAAGGTAAAGTATTTTCGTTATATTTTATTGAAGAATTTTGATCTATTGAGTCATCACTACTTATTATAGATTTTTGACCATTAGATTCAGTTGTACGATTAGAATATTGTGATGTAACATTATTCAGTATATATTCACTTA